AGGACATTGTGCAAGAGTGCTGAACGTATGTGTCACGACATGATGCTGATAACAAAATAGGAATAAATCTTGACTTAAGGCTTCCGTGACTGCAGGAATTCATACTCTTTGGGTCTTTTGGTAAAGTCACGTAGATAGAAAAATAATTAAAAAATCACGACGTTTCGATCGCAACACAAGCAATCGTCTTCAGGTGAAAAAAATTAACCCGTAAAAACAAAGTTTTCCACTATAAATCCTTTATATGCGTGGCATCGGTTTTATTTTATTATTCATTTCTGTTTTTCTTGAGTAAGAGTTTCATTTTTATCACATTGGTATTTTAAATTAAATATAAAATTTATTTTTTCCTAAAAAGTGGAAAATTTTGGAAAAAAAATTTCACGCAAATAAATTGTCACGCACAACGAGTCTGTGTGCAAAATGTCAGCTCGATTGGATCATGGGAAGTGGGTTAAAAAACGACCGAAAGATTTGCACGGTCGTAAGCACGCAAGCAAGCAAGTGAACTTAATATAAAGGATTTAAAAATACAATGGCCTGTGTTACGATCGAAACGTGATTTTTTTTATTTTCTATCTACGTGACTTTACCGAAAGACCCAAAGAGTAAAACTAGGAATCCTAGTGTGGGAAGACGTATTGATTGTTCCATCATGGTAATTTCGCACATTGCTGCTTAATAATATGCTGTAATTAGTACAAAATTGTATTAGTTGGTAAAAGGACACTTGGTTTAATTTAACGTGTGCGTGTCTGCAGCGTGGCCGTGCTGAAATTTTCAAATGGTGGAGACGATTGGTACGTGCTGGTGGGTGTGGCCAAGGATTTGATCCTCGCACCACGTTCTGTGGCTGGTGGATTCATCTACACGTACAAGCTTGTGGAGGACGGAGAGAAATTTCAATTTGTTCATAAGGTGTGCAGCCTGAAATGACAAGTTACTTAACAACAAACTACACGTGCACAATAAATACCACATTTGGTTCAAGCGATGTATTTCTGTCTTTGCAACACATTTGATTGTTGTAATCAAAATACATTGTAAATTGTTTATACGATACTTTGCTGACCATGTCCACTCGCCTGCAGACACCAGTTGAGGATGTACCAGCGGCCATTGCACCCTTTCAAGGCAGAGTACTCATCGGGGTAGGGAAACTGCTTCGCCTGTACGACCTGGGAAAGAAGAAACTGCTCAGGAAGTGTGAGAACAAGGTAACGGGGCATTGCAAATACTAATGTGGGTGTTTCTATCCTGAGTAGAATACTTGTATTGACACTTGTGTTTGTGGCTTTCAGCACGTCGCCAACTTCATTGTGGGCATCCACACGGTGGGGCAGCGTGTGATTGTGTCGGATATCCAAGAGAGCTTCTTTTGGGTGCGCTACAAGCGAAATGAGAACCAGCTCATCATCTTTGCCGACGACACGATGCCTCGGTGGATCACCACTGCCTGGCAGCTCGACTACGACACCATGGCTGCCGCAGACAAGTTTGGCAACATCGCTGTGGTGCGTGCAGCAAATGTCTATAATCGCTGAAACCTTAATGACAACCTAAGGCTTAATGACGGTACTTTAGGTAACTTAATGGGTTCATGTTAAAAAACATTGAAGAAATAGAGATGAGATGAGTTGGCCTTGTTGACTCACCCAGTTGTCGTTCCCAATGTCGCTCTTGGCTTGTGGTTGTCGTGGCGCTAAACCTGCATTGTGATCATGTCAAGTGGTAAAGTGCTTATTATGGTTTCAGGTACGACTTCCTCCAAATATCAACGATGACGTGGATGAGGATCCCACGGGAAACAAGGCGTTGTGGGACAGAGGAATTCTCAATGGCGCCTCGCAAAAGGTGAGTACCCCCTGTTTAAAATGTCACCGTGGCTTTGAGGAATTTAAATTATCCCACTTCACTTTGAACACCATCTTAATGTCATCTCAGGAATGATTAAAGTTGCGCTAAAGGTGCATGTTAAAATGCACTTCTGGTATCAGCTGTGCTGAAAGCTGTCCTCTGTTTCAGGCTGAAATCATAATGAACTACCACGTGGGAGAGACATGCCTTTCGCTGCAGAAGGCTACACTCATTCCAGGCGGTTCTGAGTCCCTGGTATACACGACTCTGTCGGGTGGGGTGGGCATCCTGGTGCCCTTCACCTCGCACGAGGTAAGGTCTTTGGGTCCTTAATTGAACCCAGCTTGCTCGCATCACAATTCATTTCCTCGCTACCATATGCTAACAAATGAAATTGAACATGGCTTGATTGAAATGAGATCTCTTCTCTCCATATTTGCCTTAGGACCATGACTTTTTCCAACATCTGGAAATGCACATGAGGGCAGAACACCCGCCCCTGTGTGGCCGTGACCACCTGAGCTACCGCTCCTACTACTTCCCTGTGAAGGTAGGTGCTCTTCACGTGCTCGAGTGCACTAATAATTCTACATGTACAAGAAATGCACACCTACGTACGTGAGCACATGCTGTAACATGCTTACGCAAAGTGAACATCCACTCAAACCAATACTTAAGTAGAAAAAAAGTACGTACACTAATACAAATTCACACTTTGAAAGTGTAGACCTGAACAGTGTGTAAATAGGAAAAAACTTGTCTTGGTTTTTGAATTGTAGGTGAAGTTTTTACCCCCATACTTTGTTCTCTTCACCCACCTCCCAACAGAATGTGATCGACGGGGACCTCTGTGAACAGTTTAACTCGATGGACCCTGCAAAGCAGCGCAGTGTGGCTGAGGAACTGGACCGGACACCAGCTGAAGTCTCCAAGAAGCTGGAGGACATTCGCACTCGATATGCTTTTTAGAGGGACGGTGCTTATTGTTACTGCACGGTCCACACGCTTCACCTGGTTGAATCTGTTTTTTTACTTAAAGTAGCGCTTGGTTGTGACATAAAGCGTATCTGTTATACAGCGTAAAGAATTACATGTAATATTTTCATAAGGTATGGTGGACGATCGCATTTGTTCAATGTGATGGATATTTTTTGTTCACTACTTTGTACACAAACCTTGTAAGGAATGGGATTACGTACAAAGTAATTTATTGATAGTTTTCATGGAGCTGGTGGGATTTGTAGTAGATTTTTTGTAAATAATGTTTCATGCAAAGCAGTGGAAGAATCCGATGTACAATTGTTTTTACAGCTGTTGAAAATAAATTTACCAAACTATGCTGTTGGTTTGAATTCGTAAATACAGTTCTACACTAGATTACACCAGTCAATCGAAGCACTGATATAACTATCGATTCTGGAGCTTGTGATTGATGTCTTAAATTGCATTTGTATCTACATTTGATTGTACTTCACAGTAAAATGGTTAAATAGGATGGCATCACCCTTGCGGCCATTAGATGTTTATACCATTTGGATCATAATTCATTTTGGAAGCCTTTGTTTATCCTTTGTGGGAAATTACAATTCCAAAAATACTTATTCAAAACACGTAACAGGGTTAATGTAAGAAATGTAAACCTTTACCATTGATAAACAGGCAGCACACGTGCTTCTGGTTAAGGGTGTTTTGGAGTTTACACATTCTTGAAAAATTTGGTTTATAATTTACTTTGTTGCTGACGGGAGTACCATCACCAAAGACGAGAGATAGCTTTCACTGTATGCATGACTGCTTAAACACTTGTAGGTTCTTGTATATCCTTGTAAGATACTGAAAGTAGTTAAATTGTTTAGCAGGGATTTTCAGAAATAGTTGACCAAATTTAGGGACAGTTAATAGTTTTTGCTTAATCCACGCAGACCAGACATCTGAAGCGAGTCGCCACAATGTATTCCACCACACTTAAGTATATCCATTGATACGCCTGGTGACCATGTACAGAGCATGTGTAAATTGCTTAACTGATGCATCGATGAGTTTGAATAAAAATGAGTTTACAACAAAGTGTTGCTTCCGAATGCAAACGGCACTCATGGTAGACTTTATGCGCAGTAATGAAAAAGGTATCAATTCTTGAGCTCTGTGACCCTGAATCAAAATTCATGAAATCACGTGGGGGGGGGGGGGGGGGTGAAGTGATCCACCCCAAATAAACATGGACTAAAAATTTTTCCAAGAAGTAATGCACATTTTCATATTTTTACAACTGCCCAAATTTGTCAGTTTTATGTAATTCAATAAGCAGCCGCCAATTGTACATTTTTTTACACATTTAAAACGCGTCAAATTAAACAAGCGGTTGAATAAAAAGTAATTATTAAAGACGTCATGGTAACTTTGTCGAATCCTTGTTTAACATTTTGGAACTTGAAAGCAAATTGGAGCTTAACTTGACACGTGTCTGGTGTCGTCCTGTGGTTCATGCCTGAGTGTTTGATCGTGTGCTCAGCGACCCGTGTTGCGCGGCAAGGTTGGGACGATGCAGCGGTGTTTTTTTAATTGACCAAAAGCCACTCCAATAAATACAATAATTAACACATTAACGGAACACTATTAAAAATGAAATAAAACCAAGTTAAACAGACGGTTAAGTGACGGACATCAACGTAAACCAAATAAACTGAAGAGGCGACAAGTCAAAATATCGACGCTGCACCCCGTCAGTTGTCTGAGCCGGCGGAGTGAACCTGAGCGTCGCGGGTTTGAGTCGTGGCACACGCAGTGGGCGAAGAGAGAACGCGATGGTGGATTAAAATAAAATATACTTTGACGGCACCAAGTCCGTCCGGAGCAGCGTATCGCTTCGGATGCGCGCACACACATGAGATCAACAACATCAACAGCCATGATCAATCCACCGCTGGATGAAGAAAGGGCCCCACGTGTGTTTTTTTGGTTCGGTGTCCCACGAAAGAATGAAGGTGGAGCGAGTCTGGAGAGTGCCGTCGAAGAGAGAACGGGAAGAGCATCATCCCCTGCGGTAGGTGGCGTCGTCGTCCAGCAAGAGTTTGGAGGGTTGGGGGCGTTTTCCATAGTCTCGGGCCAAAAATAGGGGAGGAGGGAAATTGAAAAAACCCCGTGGAGTTCGCTCGGCGCTTGGCTTTGTTCGTCTGCTGCTGCCCTCACCGCCACCGCCGCCGCCTGCACTCTCCCCTCTCTCTCTCCCTCCCCGGGTCCCGAGAACGCCGCGACGGCCGCCTGCCTGGCCCTGCCGCAGCGATGGGTCGCTCGTCCCGGGCAGACACGAAGAAGGGTGCCGGACACCGGCTCCGCCACCGCCACCACCACCACCTCCTCCTCCACCTCCTCCTCATCATCATCAGCACGTGCCTCCTGCAAGTCGCCAGTGAGGCCAGCGGCAGCAGCAGCAACAGCTCGTTAAGCGCAGAGGTAGGGTCGGTGGTGGTGGTGGCGGTAGTGACACCGATTCTGGGCTTCCCCTAGGTTGACTCGGCCATAAACGAGTGCCCGCCTGATGCTGTGTGCAAACATCAACACCGAGAAGACAAAGGCGGCCGGGAGTGGTGCTATCCACCCACAGCCGCGTGTACCGCGCCGGCCGTCGTAGATGCTCGCTAAGAGCACTTGCCCCAGCAGTCTGCGAAGGCTAAACAGGCTAATCAGGGGATGTTCGTCTTATCGTCGTCACAGTGACGGTGCTGGTGTCGTGATGCTTATGTTGTTGTTGGTGGTTGTGGTGCTGGTGATGGTGGTGGTTGTGTTGGTGGTGATGGTGTTGATAGTTTTAGAAGTTGTCAACTCTGAGATGTAACCTCCAACGCGGCACCCAACACGGAACACGCGGAGGGACGAGGAACGGGAAATGAGGAGGCGAAGGGAGCTTCATCGCGGCTCGTGGCGCGCGTTACTTTGCGACTTGCAACTTTAGTTGCAGGAACCGAGTCGTGTCACGTCGCAGTGTTAGTGTCGGCGCAGCGAGACTCTATGTAACCTGCCGTTGTCTGCGCGCTCATTGCATTGCGATTGCTTAACCCGGCCACATCATCTTGAATGCACAGCTATCCTGCCAGGACGCCCAAGCCATGTCCCCTGTCCAGGGAAACTTCAATGTTGTCGGCTTAACGCTGCCAGGTGGCCAGGAGATGACAGGGCAAGCAGTGGAATGTTAAATCTATCTGTGCGGAGCGTTTCAGTGTTTTCCTGTTCTATTCCATGGTGGATTTTTCTCCGTGTGCTGAAAATTATCCTACGCAAGGCCAAATACTCATGATTGGAATTGGCCAAACATCGCAATATAGCAGGACCCTCCAGAACCAAAATTTAGTAGTCACGAGCCTACTCCTATCTACCAACAACCTTAAATATTTCAATGAGAGATTAATCAATTAATGTAAGCAAGGTGTCTGTATCAACTCCTAATTTACTGCTCCGTACAGCATCTTGCTCATTTGTTTTGGGCTGGGCAGACTTCTGCAATGCCCCAAATGGGGCTTCAGCACAGATCACCACCACACCTCTGCAGATAATGTTCCACTCAGTTCTTGAGGCATAGGGATACTTAAAATTAGCTGTGAGAAACACATCAGAAATTGACCCCCACACCTCCATTGCAAGCCGCAAAAAGTTCAATGCAGATGCTTGTTTTTCCATTGTTTGACCATTTAGTTAACACACACATACCACTTTTGTATAATCATAATAATAATGGACCTTATATGTCCAGGATAGCCTGACGGAGTCTCAATACTCTTTGGTTCTTTCGGTTAAGTCACGTAGTTAGAAATAAAATAAAACAAATCACGACGTTTCGATCGCAACACAAGCGTTACTTTACCGTAAGAACCAAAGCGTATGGATTCCTGCAGTCACGAAAGCTTCAAGTCAAGATTGAGTCTCAATACTTGTTTTTAGGAGTCCTTGCATTGATATGTTTGGGTAAATTTCATTAGTGGATTAAATGTGTAAATATATTATGAATTCTTTACATGTCCATTATAACCAGGTCAGCATCTACTGCAACCAAAGTTATTGTTTTAACAGAGAGCTCAGTTAAACAATTACATTTTAATTACAACGTGTAGAGCAAAAAACAAAGTAAACATTTGTTTTGTTTAACCACCTGAGAACTTAAGAGACCAGGGTAGTCTTATTTGTAAGAGTGACCTGGGGCAATGTTTGTGTGGAGTCAAAATGCAAAAGTCACAAGGTCATCATCATCCATGATATATTCACTGCTGCATGAAGACCTCCCTCAAGCTCTCATCATCTCTCATGGTCTTGTGTGCAGCAATCCATCTAGCACTTGCACACTAACCAAATTCTTTGTTCCAGCACAGTGCCATTGGTCTCCATCAATGGTCATCGTCTTTTCCAGCGGTCAGAATATTTAACTTTATTTATCAAAATTGTTATGTGGACTGAAGAAATCCGATGAGCTATGAAGCTCATTTTCACAGATGCCCAGGAGCGGTGGCGAGCTCAAGCACACTTTTCTTAACACGTAATATAATGCGTCTAACTTGTGTATGTTCTCTAAGCCACATATTCCTCTTCCAGTAGCATTTCAAGCCTATCATCTCCATGCTTCTTTGCACACTTTTCAGCTTTTGTCCCATGTTTTTTGTCACAAGGTGGCGAGTTAAAACCCCTCCTGTCAGTATCATCATTCCTCCAAAGTGAGTACCATGTTACTGAATGTCAACAGTGGTTGTCCTATGAATAAACTTGACCCCACCATAGGAATATAGAATTTCCATTTACAGCTCTAGTTTTCTACGGAGATGAGCATACCCTTGCTGTTTTTAGCAGGGAAGATTATTATTCTTTATGCATTGGCTTAAGAGGGCAGCAATGGAGTCCATCGCACACGGCTGGCAAGCAAATAATTACAAAGGTGTGACTAACGATCATCCCAGAATGTTGTAAGCGGTTCCTGTTTGTGTCTTAGTAGCGTTTGTTTAGTTCAAAAATATGTTGTGAAAGCAAAAAATAAAAGTATTGCACCCAAACTTACAATAATATCACGTGCCTTCTCCCAAGTACAAGGCCAGATGTTCCGAATTGGCCAGCACGTGGCTATGATTAATTGTGGAGGTTTGAGCCGCTTATGAATATGCATGATGCATGATGGGGGAGCTTCAGTTCGTTTCTTTTTGGGAAGACTTTAACAAACAACATGATGCGCACGAATGCACCTGCCATGACAGGACTTCAGGCAATTCCTGTCGGTGCAAGTGTCAAATCGTGACTTGACCGCACAATCACTCCTGCAATGCAAGGCGTTTCCTCGTCAGTGGAAAATTCCCAAATTGACGCACCTGTACTGTAAATGACCTGTGTTTGTGATTCCGTTGGGTCATTAATTAAAAATTGGGTTCTGGGGAAAAGAATTTCAACTTTAAAATATATCCAATCATGTAAGGTTTCATTTAGTCTAGTGAATACAGGCATTACGAACATGTTTTTGGAACATATTCTCTTCCAGCGTTTAAAGTGACACGTTTATGTGACCTCGGGCATTGCTATTTCTTGGTTTTGTATAAAATGCGACGCGTTTGTTGACGGAGCGTTGTGATGGTAAAGGTGGAGTGTGGGGCGTATTCCACGGGAAACGCACAATAGAAATATGATTGACGAGGAGCGCAATTATGATATGTAAAGGAAATTGTGAAGGCGTGTTTTTGCTTGAAAGGGCAAAAAAACACATTTTCCATTGCCAACATAAATTAATTTTAAAATATGTGTCAAGTTTGATGCGTGTTGTTCCCACATTTGGGCAATATTTTCTTGAAGCGCTGCCTTTTCAAGCAGCATTAAGATAGCGCTACAGTATTGACGTTGGCACGTTTAACAAAAATCGCGTACATTGAGGAAACGTCTGTGCATGTCCCAGTCCCTGGCGGAGAAAAAGTCAATAATGGAAGGCAAGACGAAATGGAACATACACTGGTGGCGTTGGCCGGTGGAATTGTGGGGACGCTGGGAGTGAGAGCGCACGCCGTCGAGGAATAGGGAGGAGCAGGAAGGGAGCCGTCTCGTTCCTGGCGTGGCGGTTCGTGCTGGACAATTGCCCCGAGAGGAGGCACAGAGATGTGGCTCCAGGTGGCGGCTGGTGTCGCGGGCACGATCCGTCGTTTGCTCGCTCTCTTTCCACGCCACTCTAGCGCAGCGGAGGAGGAAGTGTTGCTTGCTCTGTCCCTGTGGAGCGCCCGAGGTGACCGGGATTGCGGCTGGGGGAGGGCGCAGCCAGCATCGCTTTCACTCGCACTTTAAAAAGCGCTTCGTAGACATCGCCGCCGCACGCTGTGCACTCAAATCCCCAGCTAATGACCGCAATTACTAAAATAAGCCTCGGCTCGCATTCCTCGTTAGCTCTGCGATGAGAAATGCACCCGTCATTCGTGCTTGTGGCGCCTAAAAGCATCGTGTTCATCGGGAGCCCGGCTAGACAAATAGATTCGTGATGATTTATAATTGTCATCACAATAATAATATTAATAATGTGATGCATTTCAGAAATAAACTATAACACAATTGGCACGCAGAGGCAGAATTCTGCATGTTGTTGTCAAGGCAGTCCCTGTAAATGTTTTTTTCTGTTTCCCGATGATATTTTTATCCAAGTGGTGGTGGTCAGTGTAGTGCAGCAAGATTCTCTGGCACCGTCCTCCGTGCTACATTCATGGCGAGATCATCGGGGACACCGACCCAGCACACAGTACAGTGCACGAGGCCACTTAGCTAAGTGGCAGCACGGCGATGGGGGTGGGAGGCAGACTACAGATGGAGTTACCAAGCGCTGTGGTTTCTGCAGGGAGCTAAATGGATCCTCAAAAATTGCATTCTATTGATCAGAAATGGCTTTCTCAGTAGCAGATGCTGCTGATCCTATTAGCTTTGGTAAACGAGGTTGTCCTTCAAGCTGGCTGACTCAAGAGATGACTCGGAGAGGAAACGGATGTTTTCCATCCATTCGTCATCCATTTTATATGCAAGGTTTAAACAAATGCATGAGCAATATTCTGCAACCGTTGGCATTGCTTACACAGTGAGTAGTAACTCTTGGCTTACAATGCCAGTCTAATGCTGGATGAAGGCCCTCCACACATTGTGTTGGTCATGGAGGTTGTTCAATGACCATGGGGAGTGGTAGTGCAACGGTCAGCGTGCTGCGAACCCGGCGACACGAGTTCGATTCCCGCTCACGGCCAACACCAGAACCGGTCCTGGGCCTCCCCTACGTGGATTCTGTCTCAAATGAGTACCTAGTGGGATATGTAAACTTCGCCACTCGGGAGACAAAGGCGACCAGGAGTCGTGCTGGCCACCCACCCCCTCGAGTGCTGTGCCGGCCTTCATAGGTGCTCGCGAACAGCACTTGCCCCTACGGTCTGTTAAAGGCACTTTGGGGGGGTGAGGTATTTGTATTT